TGGAATTGGTGCACACATCTTGTGGTGTAGAGTACAATAGACAGGTAACGAGTGTATCCCTGCTGATCTTTTTTGATTCACAAAAAAAGGTCTTGCATGCCATTCAACTTTCCAACTTGATAGCAAAACATTCCGAAAACAACATTGCAAGTTCTAAGCAATGGACAATGAAAAACGCTTAGATCAGTAGGAAATATTGAGTGAGCTGCATGCTTCTGCCCAATACCTGTCAAGGTGTGCAATCTGTATTCCTTACTCATTGATGCCTGGGCCAGGAAGCCTCCTACAGAAGGTTTGCCCAGCATTTGAAGTCTAATTTGAATTGGTAATATCATAAAACCGATTACTTTTTCTAAAAAAAAAAATGAAGTGGAAAAAGGGATGAACTGCTTGTCTGAAGTCTTTATTCATTCCCTTCCTCTAATCTACAGAACACCTAATCAACTTTCATTCCTCCCCACCCCTCTTTTCCTTCCCTCAATAAACAGAATAAACTCAGGAGAAAAGCTGTTACTTTGAGATCTACAGTCTGTTTAATTGTGAATGTATTGATTTTCAATCCTAAAAAAAGTTTAGAGACTTTGATACTGAACAGATAAAGTAAATTATTACATGCAGTTTGAGCATAGGACTTTAAATAAAGCCTTTCCCCATCTTGGGTATGGACTATTTAATTTTTGTGCTTCACGGAATCATTACACTGCATCTATTTGAAAGACTTTTCCCCTGGCTGTGTTGTGTTGAATGTCCTTGACTTACTGTATCTGTACTGCAGTTGCTTCTAAGCTCTCTTCCCATTAGAGTCGAGGGTAGTGCGGAGCCAGTGCTGATACCACACAGCTTCCCGGTCCTAAATTTAATTCTGGACTGGGGCAACTTCTCATTGGGTTTGCGTGGGTTTTCTCAGAGTGATCTTGTTTTTTTTCCCTTGCTCTTCCAAAGGCATCCTGACTAGGTCAGCTGGCATCTGTAAATTATATGTGTTTGTGTGTGCCCTGCAAGGAGTAGCATCACATCAAGGGTTGCCTTGCATCTTGTATTTCTTGGATAGGGTCTGGATTGCCAGTCTCACTATTACTCGCACTAGTGCTACACCAAATGTATCTTTGTCTACAGCTGTATCTGTATCTACAGCTGGGCTGTAGATACAGATGCTTCAGGAAATACTGTATACATCACAGTCTCCTACAGTACATATCAGACAACTCACTCACTGTACTCTCAAGAGCAGCACATAAACACAACATATTCCTGCTGGAGAGTTTATAAAGGGATTGGTGTAAAAATGTGTCATAGTAACTGCTTCGAAAGAAGGTTAAATCCAATCATGAGGTATTCTGCTGCGAGTCCCAGTCAGGGCATAATCTCATGTCCTCTGACCTGCAACATACTACTCAAGTAATCAAGTCAGAAATGGGAATCAATCTGCTAAATCTCATGATGCATTAAAAAAGATACTTGTTTTCAGTCTGTACTTTAGCACACAGCAGAAATATACTGTATCATGCTGTCCTCACACTGTTTCCCTTGTTCTATACCTTATGAAATATATGGTAAATTTCTCATCTTTGAGAAACGGATGACAAATTCAACAAGACCTCTCTCCCCCAGGGACCTTTATTCTTCTTTTAAATGGAATCTTTGCTAAAAATTATGGATGCAGAAATCTTGTGCATCATCCCCTGATTAACATTTTTATGGCTTTAAGTGGCTGTTAATTAGCTGTTCAAGAAAAAGCAGAACTCCAATTAGAGATAAAATTAGTCCAGAACAAAAAAAAAACTTCTCACTTGCATATGAATCTTTTTTTTTTACTAGACTAGAGCTTTAATTAATGTAGCCTTGCAAACAGGAGAATCACTTTTCAAATTTAATGATTAATAACAATAAAACAATTTAAGAAAAACACAGCCCAAAACCGTGATACGCTTCAGTGCTTACATCTGTATTCAGTTTTAATAGAATGTATTAGATAATCTAGCAGCCCTGGTCCCGAGGAGTCTTAGGGTCTTCTGTTTCTCATTTCAGCTGAGCTCTGAATGACTTAATTGGCACAATCAGTTGCTCAATTAGGAGGTTAACATACTTTTCAAATCTTTTCGTAGTAGCAATATACGACTACCTATAAAGTCTCCCCAGGACAATGGTTGCAGACCCCCTGCTATATACTGCTATATGCTATATACTATATACTAATTGCCCCAAACAAAGATTAAAAGAATAAAAACAGCCAAGTGTAAAAGCAGATGCACAAATGTGGGACCCATGCTGCTAGGCTGCAACCCTTCGTTTTGCACTTTGATTCCGAACTTCTGAACCTCAGACTAATCTCGTGCACAGTGTAATACCCTGCATTTGTATCGTGTCAGTCTTCCATGTGTATGGTACATCCTCGCTGTGTTAAGCCGAGATAGGGGGAAGGAGTAAGGGCCTGCATACCAAAGTGAGCTGCAGAAGAACGCATACAGAGGTTAAGTTCACACTAAAAAGTAATACCAACGTTTCATCAAAACCTTTTTCTCATCTCTTTATTTTTCACTGTGTAATTCACCCCTACTTATGGGTAAGAGGATGTTTGTTTGGTAAGACCTGTGCTGGTAAGGAGCAGAGACTCACCGAGGCTCATTCCTCTCACCTTACAAGCAGATTATTGTTGAAGGAGTGTCAGAATTGATGGCCTGGTTCACATATTTATTAAGATGCCAACAGTGATTAAAGCACTACACTGTTGTCATCTGAAGGACTGTTCCCCTGGCCAGATCAGAAAAATACAATCAAGTATGAGTACCTTCTTGCAAATCCTTTTGTATTAAGGGACCCATATGTTTTGCAGGAACTGTTAAATATGAAATTAAATCGACCTTTTGGGAAATAATCTTTAATCTGCATTCTCAGTGCAAAGGCATATAACTGAAATTATTCTGAATATGTGAAATTCGTTTTTCCAAAACACCCTCTCTTTTGTCTTAAATGGGCCTCTCCTGTGATCAGCACTCACTTCAGAAGCCACTCTGACCCCATTAAAATGAGCTAAAGATCTTGGTTACAGAGGATACCTGTCATACAGCTAGCCTGGCTGAGTTATTTCTGTCAAAAGTTGTACAAACGTTTAATCTCACAAAGGACATTCAGCTACAGTGAATAAGCATCATGACCCAATATCTCTCTCTAAGGGTTTCATTTAGCTATTATAGACTGATATGCTTGAAGTCTGTATTGCCCCTCAAACTGCGAATCTGAAACCAGCCCTGTTACCCATGCTACATGAATCCTTGACTCATCTAGTGACAACAAAGACACGGTATGTTATTTTTTGTCACAGGGTTTTAATACCTGAAATGGCCCTCATTTAAGAGCAAATCTCATGGTGCAGCCTTCATCTTGACAAAGCAAAAAACATGCATTGTCAAAGCCTACAAAAGATGTCTTCATAGATCTGCAGGTATCAATTTATCTATGGTCTCATTTAACTCTTCTCTCTGTTTACTGAACAGTACCTTAGCTCTTCCCAAGATCGATTAAAAGCTGACTTCGCACGAGGGCTCCCTCATCACTGTCATGTCTTTAATTACAGTTTGCAATACAAATATCAACTCCACAAAATGTTAATCTCTTTAAATAAATATGCACAAATTTACCCAGGTGTTATCTCAATTGCCCACCAATTCAAATACCACCTGTGTTCACTTAATTTCATCTGAGCTGGTGCAGGAGGTTAATATTGCAAGCTTGATACTTTGAAAGAGGGTTGTTAATGTGGAGACTGGAGACTGACAGTCTCGGACAGGTTCTCATTATACTCCAACAGTGACAAGAGACATTGCAGAGCTCGGCACTCTCTCAGAGACTCTCTCACTTGGGCCGTTTCATTCTTAAAGGCCAAATAATGTCAAAATTGTCACTCATATAGAAATAACTAAGAACAACAAAGCATAATAATTCACTCCATTGTGCATATATTATTTTGCAGAGTAATGTGCTACAGAGGGAAGTTTTCAAGTGCCAAGGTATAACAATGATGAAAAGAAATTTCCTAGATAGTTGTTCCGATAATTAACTTGTTTTAGCATAAAGATGTACAGTATATGAGCTTGTGCCACCTACTACATATGTATTTAAATTGCAACACCACATTTTGGTGTATTTTTAAGTATATTTAAATAGCAACACCACATTTCTGTGTATTCCTACAGTAAATAGCTCTAATACAGTTGCCAACACAATTTGGGTCAATTCCCTGTCTCCCAATTCCAGGTCATTACATCAATTCCCAGTTGTAATTGATTCCCCTGGTCCAGAATTGAACCCATGGCCCCTGTGCTACAAGGGAGGAATGTGCCACCCTAGTGTTCAACTCCTATTGAAAACTTGTAATATATCGATCAATCAACCAGTAATTACTGTACATCAGTTATGGAAGCTAGTGCAATTTGCTTCAATCGTTGGAAATGTCAAACTTGGTTATGTTGAAGTTTCTTAACTCAAATCACCTGTTTAGTTGAACTAGTCTTTGCAAACCCATAAATTGTACTGGGCTGGGATCCAGATTCCTCAATTCTGGAACTGGGGACCCCTACACTTGTTGGGTTTCACTCCATATGGATCCTTTAATTATCCCAATCCAAGTTGTGTAATTGGAACTTTTGCAAACGTCTGTTTAAAGTGTGGAGATAGTAAATTATGAGACACACTAGTTAAAACTAACCTCCAATATATTTAGGAACTAAAACACAATTAAGGGTCAAATTAATCCTATTAACAGATCAATTAAGGGTTCAGTTATGTAAGTGAAAGTTCAGCTGGAATGACAATCACGCTTGAGAACAGCAGTCTAGAAAGGACTTTGTCTTGGTTTAACCTGTTTCACAATATGTTTTATGCACAGATTGCGGCGTCACGGACGCTCATGTTAACGAACAACAACAAAAAGATCAGACTGAGAAGGTACAGCGATTCAGTTACCATCTACATTCAAGTTTAGATGCTGCGACTTATTCTAGTTAAACGATTCTGTCCCACAACATTTTTGATGGAGAAAAACATCGCATTATATTAACCTCAGCTTTATTGAATACTGATTGAAAAGCTGTCACTCAGTTGGGGGGAAAGACGGCATCTAACAAGCTGCTCACTATTTCATGAACTGTTTCCCACAAAGCGGATCTTTGGGGAGGATAATTCGGAATACTTGTAACTGATTAATTCCACACAGAGCAAACTGAGCGCTGGTTATACTGAAACCCTCTTGAGAGCGCACTGCTGTGCAACGCTTTCAAGTTGTATCAACTGCTCCGTGGCTTACACTACAGTGGACTGAGCCGTTCTTACCTTGCTCGTTTGCTGCAACTAACCCAGGTTTTGACGGGCGCTCCGACCAAAAGAAAGGGGGAGCACCATATCACCTTTTTCCTATACATCTGTCTCTTGAATCAGATTGGTTTTGTGGATTTGCGCCGTGGCAAAGGAGAATTTTATCTGGGATTTCTAAGATTAACGTTAGAATTGTTTTTAACTAAGCGAATTGTTTTTTTTTCCCTACATGCACAGTTAAGTTGATGCTCTCAATATTTCTATACTATTGCGGTGACTTTTCACGCTGTATCCAGCAGAATTATTGCTTGGAAGATCGATGCACGGGCTCCGGTTTTACGAGATTTAGCATTTCAGAGCAGAAGACTTTTCTTTTTTCCTAAAGCCCATTGTACTGCAGTTCTGCTTCACTCTCATCAGAAAAAAAAACTGTCACACGCTTCAAGTGCGACTGAAGTCTTAAAAGGAGACCACACTATAAATTATACCATTGGAAACAAAAGTAAGTATGTTTTCCCTTTATACGACATCTCCTTTTTCCAGAAATGAAAGAGCATTCAGAAACGCTTAGAGAGCACGTACTGTACAGGTAGCTAAACATTCAACATTCCTTAACCAATCGTATCAAGTCATGCTGTATTTACTGTGCATTATTATTGTGCCTGTTTTTGGAGGTTTCAAAAGTTTTTTTATTATCATAGTTAATTCTGTTGATTCAGTGGCAAAAAAGGCAGATGGAATGCATACTTTTTTTTGGTTAGGAGTCTTACACACTTGCGGTACACTTTCTATAATACGGTCAAATGTAACTGTTTTTCACCACTTTGCCTTCCACCTTGCCTGTAAACCGCTTCATTTCAATGGCTTTAGATATAAATTTTCTTAGATTATTGTTTTGGAGATCGCTGCCATATTAAAATACATAGAGAAATGCTGATTGGTTTAAGTGAATGATTCATTTTTGTACAGTATGTGTTTTGGGTTCGACATACAGCGTATCTCGAAAGAAATTATTGGCATTTGAATGTCATTTTTATAATCCCAACGAGCCTTAAAATAAATTCTATCAACTGTCAAGATACAGTATGTGGTCATGATGATAAATGAAACACATTCCAGTGTCCAAATATTTCAATTCGATGTACGGAAGGGCAAGTTGTCGCTTTAAAATAGAGTCAGAGTAACTCCGAAATTCAAGCTGTGAACTGCTAGAATAGTTTTCTAAAAGATTTATTTTTGTTGTTTATTGCAAATATTGATTGTAAATAAATAACTTCACCGAGGACACTCTAGTTGTGCTGTTCTGGGTCTCAATTCTACAGTTTTTCTACCCTCTACAGTACAGGCTTCTACAGAGCGACGGCGTATTCTCGTGTTCAAACACTATTCTAACACGTGCGGAACATTTTTAAATAGACCTGTCCAGTGAATACTCAGCAGTAGTCCCTACATACTGTACATCTCAGAGACTTGTGCATTGTTTTATTAATTTAACCTGTACAGTATTTCCGTAATAGTTACGAGGCTTCGTTTTAGGTGTATTTTTCTGTTGGAACCTATTGATATAGACTGTAGTACTGAAGCTCTCATGCTCAGGTGTGAAGTTCTGTGCTGGTCACTCAGTGCTTCCGTTAGAGGCAAAGTATTTGGAATTACAGTAGGTTGTGTGCAGTAATTTTGTTTTATAACAGGGAAGCCACTGGTACACACGGTCCAGTGACTTCGTCTTAATTGTTTATTGAATACTCCTTAAACCTACGGCCACAATACAGAAATATACATTTCAGTTTCTCAGTTAAAAAAAAGTTGTAGCCCACTACCTAAAACTAATCGATAATAAAATTTCAAATAATAGTTACAAACTATTGTAAATATTGTAAAACATGTCATGCGTGATGGGTTTAGAGTCTTGTGATCATGTTTCACATCGTGTGGGCTGGTCCGTTAACATAGCTATATAGTTTTCTGTGCTGTTAAGCTTTTGTATTTAAAAATGAACTGTATGAAAAAATTCGAACTTCTTTCACTCTCGAACGCAGTCTCATGGGGTAAGGAAGTGTACAATTTCTAACAGTTTAAAACATTGGTCTATCCCTTCAAACAGTGCAGTATAAATAATGTAGAGATGAGAATAGATTATTGCAAGCAAAAAAAAACACGAAAACGCAAAACATCATCTACTGACAGAGGTCTGTCACAGTCACTGCATAATAACCGAATCTCATTTTTCGGTACATTAATTATGCAAAATGCGGTGCGTGCAGATCATATGTATGCTAGGTTGGTTGAAGTACGGGTACGTCATTCTGATCCCCGAAGGATAGGGGCTTCTAGGCTTTACAGGTAGTTAGGAAAGACAAAAATTGATTGCAAAATTAATTCGGTTAAATACCGCGGAGATCAATCTGGCAATATTGTGGCCGCTGAAGACCAGAAATGCCCATTAATGGTTTTATTTCCTGAGATCCCTTAATTGCTTCAGGTTCTGACGCAGTATTTACTAAATGTGAAACGTTTCAAAGGAAAACTCATGCTAACCTGCACTCGGATATCACACTCTTGACCTTGATTTCTCATCTAATTTATACAAACATACAGTACAGTACTACTGAAAAAAATCTTTAATATGGTTATAGGAGACTGCACTTTTTAGCCTCTGTCAGCACAGAACTCGTCAGTGGAATAATAGCTGAGCCGAAAAGTGTGGCAAGTTTAAGTAGAATATTTTATTCATTTATTAACTTAAAGACACATCTGTAAAAATGTAAATATGAAAAAACAATAACAAAAAGTACTTTTTGTGCAATCTTTTATTTAAATGCATTGTAGTTCATCACTTGTCAATGAATTGCTGTGGAAATTCCTCAAGGATTCAATTGGTAGACTGTCTCTGTCTTTCACATGGAGATCTGCCAGTAGTAAGAGCCAAGGACTTTGTTCATTTATGCTGCAGCAGATTTTAAAGTATCTGTTGTCTTCACACCAGTTAAAAAATACACACCAAAGTCAATATTTCATTTTCTTACCTTTTCAGCGCTTATAGATCTTTCCCCTTTCAGTTGGACTTTTGCAGGTTCCTTCTGACTGAGCACATTCTATGAGCTTGTTGGAATGAAAAGTAACGAATGGAGTTATTCCACTTGGGTATATCGTGGCAATCTGTTCTGTAGCCAGGAATTCTTTGATTAAATGTTTCTTTTAAATGCTCAGTAATCAAGAATAATAGACCGTAGAGGAGAGGGAGGGGTCATTTTGGTATATATGTAATTGTTTACAGTTCCTAATGGTTATTGCTTGGAATAATGTCTTACAAAACAAAACTGAATAATAAAAATGTGTTTAATGTGGTCTCAAAATAGTGTTTCATAAAGACTGGCACTAAAAATGTTCCAGAGCAACATAAAAGATTTACAGTGATGAAAATCATAAACTGAACAACAGTATTGAAATACAGCATTTTAGGTGCATTTCACAAATCCTTGATGCTTAACAGGTTCATGGATGTGTGATATCCCTATTGCACAATGTTGCTGTTGAATACAAGTTAAAAGATACAATTGTATGTAACAGATACAACTTTTGGTTTTATAAAACAAAGAAAACGTTATGTACGAAAGGCTCCATTCACCTGTTTAACTGGATTATGTGATTTACTAAAAAAGTTACTAAAGAGAAAGATAGCCCAGTTTGTCGTAGCAGTGTACAGCATATACTCTATACTATCTGTGAATGACAATAGATGAGCTGTCAGTCCAAAAGTCTTTAAAGATGATGTCTACCACGTGTAATACAAATCCAGAATTCATATTTTTTAAAGTATAGGTCAGACCACATATTAATTCTATCTCTGCAGACCATTGCAAATCACTCCATGAAGTGACTTTCAAGAAGTGAGGAAAACGAGTAAATGCACCTACTGTATTACCAAATTAATGTTTACTGGTTTCTGAATAATTTAACCAGCAAATATGTCTTTCAGAAACATGATTTGAGCCCCTGAAAATATAAACACAGTACATCGTGTCAAAGAGTGCGAAACCATCCCAAACTCTTACGGATGATGTTATGTAGCTCAAAAAATAAACTGTTTAAAAAAAGGAAGGCTGACTCTGCTGAACAGAAACTGACTTAGCTTTGTCGGTGGTCCATTCAGTCTGCAATGTGACAAGATATGGTTAATAATTCTCTCTAAGCCTATGAGCTTTGATGGAGTCTCAGCTTTCTTAAGATGACTATTAGCACTTTGTGACTTACTTTCAAAGCTAGTGTAATAGAAACCATAATCGCCCAGTACTGGTTCATTATATTCTGACTCACACCGAAGCTTTCGGCTGTCTCAAGAAAAAACACTAACAGACATTATTGAAAAAAGAACAATGAGTCTTCCTCTAACTGAAAGATGAATGGAAATGGAAATGAAATAGCCATTTTCTCTGTGTGAGAGGTAGAGGTACAGTACAGCATCAGTGCAATGATGCTCTTAAGAACTGAAACCACTCCATCAACTGTTTTGGATTACTGATTTCTGAACAGTATATTAGATCAACATTCAGAACCCAAGCCAAAAAGTCCATGAAACAAGGTATAAAGCAGTGTGAAACTACAATGGGCCACTCTTTGTGATTACTTTGAACATAAGAATGTTCAGTAATGAGTACCTTCAAGCAAATCTAGAGAACATATTCTGACTTTTCGGGAATAACTGGACGACTCCCACCTTGCAACGTGACCTCATCATAACTCAACCCTAAGGAAGGTTGGATCTGGTGAGCACTGCAATGGGAGCTCTCAAAGAATACGCAGATTGCTGCAGTAAGTGGTGCCAGTAGGTGACAATCTTCCCTCTGGACCAGAATTTCCAGGACACAGCCCCAGTATGTTGACCAGGAAAATGGCCCTGTGGGAGCTACCTTACAGCTGAGACATCAAACTAAGGTTGTGGCTAATTAGTCCTGAGGTACTGTTCATAATAGAAAGAGTATTAATCTTAATGTCAGGAAGAGGTTCCACTTTGAGTTTGTACAGTCATTCCTGTCTACCTCAATTTCACCCTTAGTGCAATTGGTTAAGTGATTCTGCTCTGTGTATCACCTAGATGGGATGTTAGTGGAGAATGATTGTTGTGTGTCTCCCAGATGGGGCAGCTGTTGCAGAATTGCTGCTTGTGTCACCCAGGTGGGGCTTCTGGTGCAGAATGGCTGCTGTGTGTTTCCTACGTTGGGCTGCTGGTACAGAATGTCCAGTGATGGATGAAGTGGATCCTCTCCATTTTATAAAACACATTGGGATATTTACTTTTAAAAAAACATATACAATTTTGATTGAACGTTTAATCATTTTAATGGAATGTTTGCTTCATTCTCGTTCATTTTGATATAATTAAAGCTAAATTAAATAAACTTCTGGACACTTAAGACAAGTGGAAAAAGTTTAAAAACACATGCCCCCTCCTGGTATTAGAATATAAACATTTAAACTAAACTAGAGTTTAAATACTTCCAT